CAAGGTATTAAATGATACGAGGCACCATAGCGACCCTTTTGTATTTCCATTATCATACTTACTTGTTCAAACGAGTGTGGAAAAGGCTGATAAACCGAGGTTTTTTGAAGCATGGCTTTGCAGTCCGACGTAAATTTGGAGCTAATCCTTTAGATTTATTCGCATAAATCCACAGTTGAAACTCTAAGCTAATCCGTATTCCATTCTCGATGGGACCAATTTGGAAATACCTCCTGCTAGCCTTCACATACTAAAAAGATATTACAAAAACATGAAGTTAATGAAAAGCTCTTCGAAACCCAGTTTTATTATATATTTTTTAACCTTCATCTATTCGCATGAAAGCAGCAGCCATGGTGAAGCCAACAAATAGTTGCTGTCTCGTCTATGAATATCTCTCCAACACACTTAATTTGCCTCGTTTGTGCATTTGTGCGTTTGCTTGTTTGCGCTGAAGTGTATCAGGGTGTGGGTGATACCAGCTCAATTTGGTCACGGACAAAGCCGATCCAGCTGGTCGCTGTGTGTCGGTACCTTTCAAGCTATCCCCATTTCGATTCAATCCTCCATTAGTTGTTCATTAGCGGGGTTCGAAGTGTGCCCATTCGTCTCATTGTCTCTTTTGCCTCTTCATACCCCCAAATTGACGCTAGTTTCGCCTATTTAGCCTGCACCTGTTGCGATGTCTTGGCCCTCAAGGCCCCATTCACGAGGCTGGAGACCAAACCAACCCCCACATTCGCGACGACTCTCGGACGTATGCATACACGAGCCGTTCGCTCTGCCCCTCTTGAAAGGAGGTACTCTTCACGAACGAGGCTGCGGTGAAACATGAGCCCCACCAGCCGTAATTTGTTACACCCAGACAAGCTGACATTACAGTATGTGCAATTAGCATGCAACCCTAACGCCGAGTGAGCCCATGGGTCTGAAAAAGGGGCAGAGGCACGAGGCGAGTGTGAGACACGGGGCTGCGGACACAGTTTTGCCGGCTTTCTGAGCCATTCTGTCCTTCCTGCCCCACCACACTACCAAACACACACTAGCACGTGCGCGTAAAAACACAACGCTCACACGCACACGCACATATTGCACACAAACACACGCACAAATCCGCATGCGATCGCATGCCCTCCCATGCAGGCTCAGGTGTGTGAGCAACCCTTCTACCACACCCACTTTCGTCGCATATTCTTGTATACGTGTTTGCGAACTTCCAACATACCTAATAACCGATTCGCAAATCCGTACACAAAAATGTGCACACAAGCACCGTCAGCCTCCACTCGGACAGACACAATCACAATGTACATCGGCCACATGTGGTACTCTGGGGGCAGTAAGCAATCGGTGAAGGCATCGAGTCCCACCTGCAAGGCTACGTCGGCATCTCCAAGGCATCGGCTAATAAACCTCACATCACAGGCACTGCATACCCGAACGCTGTAGTACACAGGTCTCATTTCCACACACACACACACACAAACATATATATATATATACCTGCACACTCATTTGGGATAGGACACACATATTCATACACCTTGGCTCTTAGAAACCTATGACATCCTCATGCTATCTCTAATTATTTTCCGTCGACTTACAGCACGTAGGGCAAGTCATTTCTATGAACGCGTGAAGTTGTTGTGGTCTCGGTCACTTGTTGAAACGAAGGTTGGGTCGCATTCTCTTGACCACAGCAGGAACCACAAGGCTAACTTGGAAGGAGATGGATTCAGTAATGATGGATGAGACGAGATGTGGCCACTCGAGCATCCCAAATATCGGAAACGCGAAGTGTTCAGCGGATTGATGATCACCTTGTGAATAAGTTGATCTTGATTAGTCCATTAATTGTTGCACTCAGTTGTCATGATGAGCCATTTGTCGTGTGGGCTTGTATGTAGTGATGACGATTACAAACACAGTACATTGATGAGAAGGCTTGATTTTGAATCGGTTAAAGGCGTTCTAATCCACACTGAACTTCATTTTCAATTTTCAGCCAACATCACATCGGCATTACTAAGCGGGTTTCGAACCGTAGATTTTATGCTCCGAGAAGTAAACATGTTGAAAATAACCTTCAGAGCCCTGTCAGAAGCACAGATGTTGCGTATCTAGGCTGGTCTCGAATAGTACGAGCAATTTGTCTCATGAAAATGTCCCATATCTTAAAATCGTTCCATTAAATTAAAATAGGTGAATAAAAATTTTAAAATACTTTAATATTTTATCCCTTTCTTAATATAATATATTAGTTTGAGATACTCAAAAGGTATTAAAACCCACGAATATTATAGGCAAAGCAATATAGTATGGAACAGTGGTTCCCAAACTTTTCCTAGTCGCGGAGCCCTACCCTAAGTCTGACAATTGGTAAGTAAGAGATAAAAATAAATAAAACTCGTGTATCTTCATTATTTTTTTGTTACTTTATTAACACTAAATTGATATTTAATAATTAATGTGATGGATTGGAGCTTTTACAATATTTCGCGGCGTACAGTTTGGGAATCACTGGTATAGGAAGTAAAATCCACTAT